GGCTACGATCACAAATGTAGTAAGCACAGAACGAGATAACATTGCGATAGACACGAAATCGCAACTTGCTCCAATAACGATGGTAAAAAAGGCATCTGCTATTGGCGGAAAATCAATTGCTGTACTCAAAACAAATACTGCTCAAAGTCTATTACAATCGAATCAACCGAATTATTCACACCACCAAATTCAAGTATCAACATCTGCTGGTCTACAAACCATTCGTTTGTCTGGACACTCTGTGTTGCAATCTGCACAGCAATCTACTTCAACTAGTAACAGTTCTAACGTAATAAACGGAGCTACTACAAATTTAACGACGATACTACCATCTACAAAAGCACAAAATCAGCAGCAACAGCAAACTATAGTAACAAATCAAGCAGGGAAAAGTATTTTACAAGCTACTAATATAAAACAACAGCAATCACAACAGCAACAACAGCAACAACAACAACAACAACAACAACAACAACAACAACATGTATTACCAGGCAAAACTCTTTTGGCATCACAGATTAAATTAGTTAGTTCGAGTCAAATTAAATCATTACTCACGAGCCACGGTCTTCAAGGTCAGACTATATTTATCAAACAATCCTCACCGTCGAATACTCAATCTCAACAGCAACAATTACAACAACAACAACTGAAGGTATCTTTGCAAACAAACATTACTTTTATTATATTTATTATTTGCTTTTTTTATTAAAATTTTATTCTAATCTCAGCAACAGCAACAACTCCAACAACAACGAATCACAGCTAACCAACAGCAACCTATACAACAAACTCCGGGAATGCAACGCATAATTGCACAAATCGGAGGAAAACCAATTGCTGTGCAAATACAGCAATCACCTCATCATCAACAACAGACTAAGCAACAACAACAACAACAACAACAACAACAACAAAAGATACTTGCAAAAGTTTTAACAAATAATAGTGGCGGACAAATAATCTCTGTTGAAAGTTTACTAGCTCAGAAAGGATTGAAATTAGCTACTACTGCTGGTCACGCTAATCAACTTAATAGGCAGGGCAAGCAAGTCATACAGGCTCAATACCAAGTAAGCACACTTTATATAATAGATGTATTTATATATTTATTGATGAGAATGAGAAACTTTTTTCATAATAACAACATTATAAATATTGAAAAAATATAATATTAATGAAATATTATTATTAATAAAAATGATAATAAAAATAATCTTGAAAGAATAAGATATATATATATATAATTAGATTGATAAATAATGAAATAAAAATTTACCATACTTTTTATCTTTGAACAAAATTCCTATTAATGTATTATACAAAACATATTTGTATGTAAAAAAACAATTATCGAAAATTTCTTTCCATTCCTAAGAACATTAAAGTAAAAGTTTCGTCAAGAAATAGAATTATAATACATTTATTAAATTAAAATAAGATAGCGTGATAGATTTTCCTTTTTTAAATAATACCAGAATATGTTTAGAAACATCACTTGAGTGCCCTCGTGTATTATTCTATCTTTATTGTTTATCGAATGTTAAGCAAGGATAAAATGGTATCACTCAGATAGTGTTTCTTAATGAACGTGTCTTTATACGCATATTTGCAGGTGGTGCCACAAGCGCAAGCATCTTCTAGTCAATCAAAAATAATAGCAGTCAGCACACAACATCAACAATCTCAACCTCAACAAGCTCAAACTGTCCGAATGGTTACTGCTCAGCTTGCGGGAAAACCTATTGTATTAGCAAGCAGTAACAAAAACGTTGGAGTTGCAGTGAGCACCAGTGGCGGAAACGTGGTATTAGGCAAACAGCCCACCTCTCAGCAACAACACCAACAACAAACGCAGCAACCAATTATCTTGCCGAGTCAACTGCTCAACATCAAAACATTACACGGACTTAAAGTGATTCCCACTCCTGCCGGATTAAAAACCACAGGTGGTGCTGTATACGCACGAGTTATCGCCCCTACAACGATCGCCTCTACGCAGGCTGCATCAAATCAACAACAAACTCTTTAAACACAATCACCAAGAAATTCGTATAGCACATACCTTGACAGAATTAATATTATTTACGTACATTTATACTTAATTTGCTTAGCATTGTTGCTTTTATGCACGCGCGCGCGTACATCCACACATACCTAGTGTTTTCCAATTGTAAAATTATTAGATAACACTTTTATGTACATGATAACAAACGTTACGTTCCAATTGCCGTAATTGTCGACGCAACACTACACATCCTTACTTAGCTCAAGAGCTATTAATCGATTGTGTATACTTATATCTTTTTAGTAACAATTATATGTTACCAATCGCGGCGGCTATAAATTGGGTAGCCGGCAATTTTGCTTTCTTTCATTTAATGCAGATAAAAAAGACAACATTTAGTTTATCTTTTTGAAATCATGCACAGCGTATACATTTTGTTCTAATAGAATCGTGCAATGCTACACTTCGTGCATTTATATGTCAAAATATGTTAAGCAATTGGAAAACACCCAACGTATACATGAATGTATACGTACAAGGTGTTCCAGATTTTGTGTGACATCCATTATAGTATATTCCTGAGATCATTTCGAGATAAAAATCCTAATACCAAAATGTCGAGATTACAGTAGTTTTGAAATGACAAGGATTTTTAAAGTTAATCAATTAAACTGTCCAAAATTCGCGCGTTCATGCAAGGCATGGTAATAAAGATGTTGTCAAGCATCAGTTCTATTCTCTTCTAAACATCTTTACTACTGCACTACTGAATTATGGCTGCGTTCAGCAGTCTTAACAGTTCAGTGAGCGTTTATTGATATTTCTTCTAGATCATCCAATTAGACTTTTAGATCTAGAAGAATACATTGATAGCTGCAAGCGTTCACTGTTGAATTTGTGTTATGTCTGAGCGCGCGAATTTCGAACAGTTTAATTGATTAACTTTAAAAATCCTTTATCATTTAAAAACTATTGTAGCCTTAACATTTTTAATATTTTTGTCTTGAAATAATTTCAGGAATTACACAGCTGTTAACAGGTATCACGCAAAGTCTGGGACATATTATATATTAAAAAAGTGAATTAATATACTCTATAAAAAAAGAAAGAAAATATTACACCGATTATTTAAATTCCATAACAATCTGTAACATTTTTATCGGATCAAGAGCAAAATGTGGAAAATGTGTAATAAAAATACATGTGAGTTTACTCGCAATTAAATATCTATTAATATTATTAAATCTGAATTTTCTCTTGTATTTGAATTATGACCCGGATAGTAACAATATGTAAATGTATCATTTATGTCCAAACAAGTAATTTTTCCAATACTCGCGACATAAAGTGTGACCTCGTAAAAATACTTCTGATATAAATATCTTATATTTCTAATAGAAAGCATATATCAGACTTTTTAAATCCATCAAATAAAAAAATGAATTTAGTAATATTTATTTATATTTATATGTATATAAATTCTACATGATATATTAAGTTGGGGAAAAGTTCTTTTACACACACACACACACACACACTTTACCTCCAACCCACCATTTGTTACGAAACTTTTGTTACAATTATCAATTTTTTTTAATGGAAAGTTTCAGCTTTCAGAATTTGTTTTTTTAATTGCAGTATAATGATTTTTAACAAAATTATGAGTAATCAAAATCAGAATACTACTTTAATTAACTCGCGAATAACTCTGGAACAAAAAATTGTAGGAATATTAAAAAAAAAAGATTTTGTAGGAAAAACTTTTTAAGCTTTTAAGGTAATCGAAGATTTTCGCATTTTTTTTAGAACGTGAAAGACTCACAAGTGATAAGACAAATTTTGATCTTTTTCAGTTCATTTTTTTCATATATGTAAAACTTGCCAAACTAACAAAAATATAGTCTTTTGAAAGTAAAGATTTTAAGTTTAAAAATCTTTTTTTTTTTTAATTTAAATTTTGTTCATTTTTAACGAAGATGTAATAAAGGTCCTTTTACATATATATATGTATTATAAAAAAACCTTTTTTCCAATCCAATATGCATACGTGCGCGCGCGCACACACATACACACACACACACACACACAAAATCTTATTTTTATTTAGCCACTTGAGAAAAGCATTCACGTAAAAATCAACTACTACAGTAATCTTTCATAAAAATTTTTGAAAATATGCACTTTTATGTTATTTTTAATGCTGAATAGCGTAAAAATAAATTAATAAAAAAATTGTTTCTTTTTTTGAAAAAAAATAATTAGATCGTAAAATCCATATTCTTATTTGTTGGATATTCTTCATACAGTATATAGAAAAAAAATGAGTCAAAATAGATATTTTCGTTTCATGTAAAAACATGCCAAATAAGCCTAATTTTATTGATTTTTGGACTGCTAAGTGCAAAACTATATAATTACCAATTTAACAAAGTAAATTGATGAAAAACTATAGGCTTATCCTTTTTAGCCGAACTTCTTGCAGAGTTCATCTTTTTTCTTTTTTCCTCGACGTGGAAAAGAAAAAAGATGAACCGTGCAAGAACTTTAGCTAAAAAGTACAGACCTTATATTACTTGATTATAATTTGTGTGAATAGGAAAATTTGTATTTTAAAAAATTTTACACAGCCAGAAGTTTTATAATTTTTTAAAATTCATGTAATGATAGAAGATCAGTTATAGTAGAACATTTTTAATTTTTTATATTACATCCCTTAGTAAATAAATTCTTACAGTTCTAGTATAAGTATAATATGTATTACGTAATACTATATTATAAAACAATTAAAATTTATTACATTTATTACACTATTTTTTCCAAAAGGTCATTCTGAAATTCAAAGAATTACCATACAAGATTTCATAATATATCTTGCATATATGTTCATGTATTAACAATATCATTATAAAATAAACAATAAAACTTTTCTTTATTTACGAAATAAACATAATAAATAAAATGGTTGAAATTATATATTCCAAAAACCATATTTAACAAGCTGTATATTCATATATATTTAATTAATACAGCAATCCTGCTGAGAATCTACTCCGAGTGGGAATGGAAAAGTGGGATTGTTTTCTAAATTAAATTGAAAAGGCGAGCATTGTTCACCAACAAGATCATCAGGTGCTTGACCATAATTTTGCATTTCCGTCATAAGTTTTAATACACATTCAAATCGATGTTGTTTAATACTTTCTGTATCGTCTTCCTTTTCCTTTTCCAATTCAATACACACCTTTCACAGAATATAAATATGTTAATTGTGTAAAATTTCCATATAAATTGATTTATTATTAACATACCTTTTCCATCAGTTCTGACTGTTTTGTATATCTCTCTAAATCAGAAGCATTTAAAGTTGCTTTATGTTCCTCTAACCATGCTGGATATTTATCGGATAGTTCTTTCAATGAGGGATAAAGAATTTCTTTTGACAAGAGGTGCTCCATCATTCCTTGCATAAATGGTAATATATCACCAGTATCGCCATCGAGAGAGGTTTTCCCGAGCATAGCTGCTACATCTGTTTCATTCTAAAATGTATTTCAATTATTTTGATTCTATCAGAAAGATGAATAGAAAATAATATTACCTAGACAGGTTGACTAAAAAAAAATCTGTAAAATCTCAAAAATTAAAATATTTGAGAAAAAAAATTTCATACAAAAGTTTTAAGAATTGCAATGTATTACCAGAGAGAAACCTGAGAGAAGACACGAAGGCCTTTTTTTATACCTATAACTGCAAAATGCCTTGCACACTCTCTGAAGAAGTAGATGTCAATTACACAACAATATCCACCTTTTTACGATGCTCCTGATAGAAATAAATCGCTGAAATTGTTAAAATCTTTATTAATTTTTGATAGATTTTAGTTATTTCAGTGATTTACTTCCATCAGGAGCACTGTAAAAAATATTGTCGTGTAGTTTACATCCAATTATTCAAAAGGCAATATTGCACGGCAGCATTTTGCATTACAGAAATAAAGTCCTCATGTCCTCACTTAGGTTTCTCTCTAGTATTACACTGCAATATCCCATTTGATCATAAGTACAAAAGTAGATATAGAAAAGCACTTAAATTAATTAAAAAATGTATTAGTTAAACATATTGAATAATATTATGCTGATAATATTTGAAATTTGTCAACTCATATCTTGAAAACTATTTAATCAAAAGGAGTTTCATCTAGTGTTTTAAGAGATTTGATATCTACTACAAAAATATTGAATAAAAAGTTTTTGTTAAAAATTTTGAAGTTAACTTTAAAAACTTCTCTGTATCTACACACAAAATTAATTGCCATCTCATATAGTTGTTGAAGTCCTATAACTTTTATTTAAAACACTTTCCAAATGACTCGTCTTTGAAATATTTCACTGATCCAATACTTTTTAATCACCCTTATAAAGATCAGATACCTGTAAATTTTCAGAATTTGTAGTTAAATCCTTTAAGACTTGTGAAATAGCTGATTGGAAATCTGTATTCACATCGTTTTCATTTACTGCACTACTAGTTGACATTTGTCCAAGCTTCTGTAAAGCAGCTTCCAGTTCGCTATCTTCTAATAATAAATTATTATCCTACACATATGTATTTAGTATTCTTTATATATTTTGAATTATCTCACCATTTTGTAATAAATTTTGTAAATTTTTTTCAAACTGATCAGCCGTTTGTTTGAGAAAATCCTCTGTCCACTTATCTTCACATGTTTCTTGTTTATCTGTTTGCTTCTGTGAATCTGAGGTATTTAGGTCATTGCTCTTTTCAACATTTGATATGGATACTTTATCGAAATCTTGTAAAGCACCTGAGACAAAACAACAAAATTTAAAACTTGCAATTCACACACACACTCGTGCGTGCGTGTGTGTGACAGTTTGATAAGATATCTATAGTTTACAAAACAAATGTGTACTAAAAACTACACTTAATATCAAAGATATTCATTTGAAATTATGAAACACAATTTATTATGTAAGTATGAATAATTGCTTTTTTAATAACTATAGAACTAAACTTGCGACATAGATGTCCATAAGGTTATATCGATTTTCTAAATATATAAAATACTTACTATCCAATAAATCGTTCAAATCTTGATTTTCTGTTTCATTATTTGTTTCTTTCCTATTATCAGTCATATTTTCGTAATTTTTTAAATATCCTTCTATATTCTTTTTATAAAGAGAATGAAGAAAACTACCAATAACCACGATTGTACTTCTTCAAATCCCTGGCTCATGCTCATGTCCATGGGTGCGTTTCCATTTCCATCCTTAAGGCGCAGCACACACTTTTGCATGACGCATAAAGCATGTGCATAAGAAATTTCATTGGCCCATTTTCTTATTCATGAGTCAATGAACCAATCAAATTCTTTATGTATATGGTTTATGCGTTATGCAAAAGTCTGTGCTCCCCGCTTAAAGACCAAGACACAATGCGAGAGAATAGCGATAGCGATAAGTTTCCGCCAGTATAGTTAAATTATTCGATATAATGGATCAAGTATATAAGATTTACGATCGTCAAGCATCACTAAAGATTTGTATAAAAGACTATTTTCACGAATATAGCGAATTAATCAAGTCAACTATGTGTTATGAAAATGATAAACAAAGTGAAGAAAAGATTTTTCAACTTATGGGTACCGATCTCTCACAATCGAGAATACTTTTAATGAAACATTATTGCAGGTATTTTATGATATAATAAATATGACATATATTTCCTAATAAAAATCAATGCTCATATATATTGTATATTGAAATCAATTTTATAGTATCGATAATTTAACATTACCAGTGGAAGCTGCTATTACCGAAGAACGAGAAAAACTAGGATATGTTAACATACCTGAAAGAATTTTAGATAATGTTTCATTGGAAACAATTAAAGTATTAAAAATGTTATCCAAAGAAGCTTCAGTAAAACCTAGAAATCAAAATGGCATTCCTATTGTAAGTAATTACTTTCAGAAGAGCTACATTATAGACATGTAGAATAATGAAAATAGTTACTAAAATTGACTTGAATTGTAATTATATGATCGATAATTTTATAGTTATTATTGGTACCTTGCTTAATGTGCATGATAAGAGTATGACGAATCTATAGCATTGAAATAATTGCTTGTTTTATTTTTTTAGAAATATGACAAACCAAAATCGATTGATAATAATTTAATAAAACCATATGAAGAATTTCTAGTTTATATCAGGGTATATGAGCCATTTAAAAGCCAACCTCGTTCTCTTAAGTATAGAACAAATATACCTACTCTTAAACTTAAGAGTGTTGTATCAATATTAGGAAGCCAAACTTTTTATGAATTACGTCAAAAGATAATGTGTCAATCTGACCTGTCAATTACAAAAGAAATTAGTGAAAATCCAAATCAAAGACCTGAATCCATGGCAAAAGTACTACTTTTTTAATTTTGTATTATATCTATTTTATAACAATCCGTGTGTTTGTTATGTATTAAGTATCCCATTTTAATAGAAACAATGAAATATTTTGCAAATAAAACATTTTTCAGAAAAATGTTTTACATAGTTTACCATTAATAATAAAAATAAGAACAACCTCCAATGATCTTGATAAATATTATGAATAATCCTGAATAACATTCAAAATAATTTAGGAACTTATTCTGTAATTCTGAATGACTTAACGATATTGTGTCATTGCACAAGTTTTGTATAAGTAAAAAAGCTGCTCAACAACAATGTAACGATATCATTTCAGTCATTAAGAATTACAGAATAGGCTGCTTATTCATCAGTTGAACAGACTAGTTGGATAATATTAATGCTAGTGGTACCTCAGCTTTATCAACTCACATCTTGATAAATACTTATTTCTTAAAAGAAATTCCATTATATACTGTTTTGAAAAGATTTTGATGTCAAAGCTACAAGAATATATTGAATAAAAAGTAATTTTTTTTTATTAAAAATTTTAGAGGTAATACTGACAGCTCCATATTCGCATTCAGATCAAATGGATATCCCTGTGTTTCATAAAAGTTTTGTTTTTGAGATATTTTTATTGTTTCTATTAAAATGGAATACTCAGTATATGAAAGTCAATTGCATTTATTATTATAGGATGTTTACCCATCAGGATTCTTTTATATTGAAGACACATTTTATAATGATATTAGCATACCAACTAACGTTGATTATAGTAATATTATATTGGATTGGGCAGCAGCTCATAATATAGGTCCATTTGAAATTGCCACTATGGATGCTCCGATAAATTCTCTTTATACAAAGTTTGGTTTTCCATGGGTATATCAGCATCAAGGTTGTTGTGAACACTTAATTGTTTTAACTGATGCCAGGTAATTTTTATTAATATAACTTGAAGAAATTCTTTAAATTTAAAGTTTTTATAATTCTTAATGACAAAATAAAATAGGGGTAACAAACTGTAGGAGACTGAAATTTATATATATAAAATTTCATACATAAAGTTAATTTTTAGGTATAATTAAATAAAATTAATTTTTTTTATTGGTTGCCTAATAAATATAGTTATAATCTTCCTCTGTGATAAAAATCGAATACAATTTTAACGTATTTAAATGTATTTAAAAAGTGGGATGCAAAAATTCCAATTTTTTTGAGGCTCATCAAATGACGAGAAATAGCAAAATAATTTTCTTTTGTCCTAAGAGGAGGAGGGTCAATAAGGGTCTTTGGTTCACTCAGGATTTTCAACAAATAATTTTTTTATTGTACAATGATTATTTAATAAATTATTTAATAAAAGTCGAGACATTTTTTTATTATTCTAATAATTAAAGATATTTTGCAACATAAACCAGTGTTGGTTTCCAAGCTCCTGTTAGTGCACAATTTTGATTTATTCATAAAGTCTTTAATATTAGTTTTATTATGGATTTATAGATCAAGTTTTTTCTCACTTAATGGTTATTTTTGACCTGATGATCACACAAAAGAAATTATTTTCTTTTAATTCTTAGCGGTTAAAAAACAACCTTATTAATCCTTCTTCTTTCTACAAATTGTGATACAACAGAGAAATTTTGACAAATATCTCACACACACGCACACGCACGCGCGTATGTATTTAACGCACTCACACACACACACACACACACACACACACACACACACACACGCACGCACGCACGCACGCACGCACGCGCGTGCGCGCATGTATTTAACGCACAAAAACAACAGTAAACAATTATTCTCATTCTTATACTCGAAAAAATAATTTTTATTGAATATATATATGTAATGTCATTTTTACTCAATAATTACTAAATAAACGTTATTAACGAATCATTTATTTTTATTAGATTGGTGACTGTAGATGATGTATTAACACAATCTGCTTATCCAAGAATAGAAAAAATAAGACCTGTTTCTGGAAAAAACTGTATCTATTGTGGAATATTTAATGTGCATTGGATTGTAACAGAACATGATAGAATACCACACGATACGAGTTACTTTTGCAACAGATGTTTCAGATCTTATAATTATGTTGATGGTAAAAAAGTTGGAAATTTCAAAGCATACAGTTATCCTTGTATATCACAATTAATGCCGATAATAAGAAGACCTAATAAAAAATCTTAAACTTTTATATACATATGTATCGATTGTATGTGTTATAAAAATATATATTTAAAACATTAATGTCATATTTAATATAAAATATTAGTGTAACAAAGTTATTTTATTGATGCTTTTAGTAATGTTTTATACAATCTTTGCAAGTTATCTTTTGCACTGTATAAATCTGGCTTTAATTGTAGTGCTTTCTTATACATCTCCTCTGCAGCATTTAATTTATTCCAACGATGATACAAGACACCTATAAATAAAATATTTTTGATTATATTATTTTAAATTATTCATGTTATACATACAAAAAAATATTAAACATTAATATTGTCATATTAGTTTGAAGAATAGTTTGAAGAAATTGTCGATGTAATGATATATAATTCAGATAATTTTTTATAGCTGTACATGTTTAAAAAATTCAGAAAAAGTTTTTTATCAATTCATCTTTTTTTTAACTTTCTTACATCAAAACTTAGTTTTGAAAAATTTGAGTTTATTAAAGGTTGATGGAAGTGAAACAAAGTAATTCATTTATATCTCATTTGTAATGTAATATATACACAATGTATGTATATGTATAATAAGTGATTATTATAAAATTTGTTTAGTCATAAATAATTTGCATTTCTAAATCGCAATTGATGAGATGAATTGTAGATCGACAACTAGACACAAGAGATTAATAATAACTTAAATCATTTATTGAATGTTATGTATAATATTCTCTGATGATATATAAGTTATAATCGTGTTATCAAATACCAGTGTTCTGTTAAATTTTTATATTTTTTGATATCAATGGCAAAAGATAGTTCGCTTGACATGAAATATTTTCTTTCTTTTATATATCCTGATATACCTAAGTTTGCATAAGTCATAGAATTTGTAGGATCTTTCAATATCGCTTGCTTAAATTGGATCTCTGCTTCCTCATATTTTCCTTTTTTTCCCAAAATGTTAGCAATATTAAAATAGATGGAAGCATGATTTGGAATAAATTTTAAAGCTTTGTTTGCCATTTTTAATGCTTCTTCTGTCCTACCTAAAATTATAGAGAATATCTTAATTTTTTTACATTATAATAATTAATGTATATAGGAAGCTACAATGTTAATTTAAATAAAAACAAACCTAAATCATCTAATAGTAATATTATATTTGTCCATGCTCGTTTATGCGTAGGTTTTTGTTTAGTTGCGTTTATCCAAGCTCGTAATGCCTTATTGTATTGTTTTCGTTCCAGATACTATCATAAATTTTGATAATTAAAACATTTTTGAGACCAGATTAAAATCATAATTTCATTTGTATAGTACTCACTAATACGCCTAAATTATAATAACAATCTGGATAATTTGACCGATATTGTAGAGCCATGAAATAGCTCGTTTCTGATTCCTCATATTCTTTCAATACTGACTGAACTATGCCTAGATTCATCCATGCCGTAGAAAAATCTTTCCTAAAATTTACGCATTTTATAGAAAATACTATATCTATGTATTTATATTCATAATATACATATATATTGTATTTTTTAATTTGTAAATAGAAAAACAAAAGATAAATTATATACACAGTGTCCGTCAAAAGTTCCGTGCAACTTAAATAACGTATAAATAGGATTGAAATTTGTAATAAACATTGCGATCATGAAATTTATCTTTTAAGGCTCCTGAGTATTCAGCCAAGAACTTCGCGTTGACTGTAGCGACACAGAATCATAAGATAGGAATTAAACATACGTTCTAACACAACTAGTCTGTGACCTGACATAACTAATGCATGTATACACAAGCATGAGCCCATATCAGTGTAAAGCAAACTTCGTCGAAGTAGCTTGTGTACACAGACCAGCTGTCGTGGAGCGAAGACCCTTTAAATTTTTCTTGATATATTTTTTCGGCTCTTTATATTTTGATTCATTAAAAAAAAGTAGGTTTAACAATTGTATTTAAAATTTAAGATAAACAGTATAATAACTAACAATATGAAAAACAATATTTTCTATACAAGGAAAATTCGAGAAATAACGAGCGACAGAGTTCGAGGACAAAACGTTGAGACAGTCGATACATAAACATGTTCAGTGTAAGACGTACTCCACACTACTTTACAAAATTGTACATCTTTTTTTACATCTGACGACCCGAATATAATTATTTATTATTAATCTGACTTGACTATCGCCTAAAGCTTAATTATAACAATTAAAAATTAAAGAAATGAACTATGTGAGTCAGAGCTACGTGTTAGTGTTAAGTTATTAAACTAATAAAATTTGTTAATAATAAATATTTTCCTTTTATTAAATTCCCACCTTCTTTTCCCCAAGAAAACCTATAACTTTTATATAAAACTTTTTCCTGTATTTCTCTTAATTTCTAATATATCCGTCTAGGGCGATTAAAATGCCCCACATGTATATAAAATCTCATTGTGAGATATAAATAAATTTATAAACCGATGCAATTCTATTCATTTTAAGTAACAATATTTGATCAAACTTACTGTATACTAACAGCTTGTTTAAATAAACTTACAGCCTTCAAATGCTGCCCATCATCTTTGAGTAAATTAGCAAGATTGTTCATAGCTTGAGCATAATTCGGATTTAACCTGTATATCATAGTATAAATATATAATATAAGATTTCTTAGAAGAAAAAAGATTTTAGAAAAATAAATTTTAGGAAAATATTAAGACTGTATAAATTGTATACAGTACCGTAAAGCTTCTTGATATTCCAATTTGGCAAGATCAATGTTTCCTGCATCTGCAGCATTTTTTGCAATATTATAATGCACTTTTGCGTTGAGAGGACATACATCTAACGCTGACTGAAAAAGCAGCTTCTCATTCCTCCATTGACTACTCCTTACCCAAGAACGTATAAACAATAATACAATGAGCATTGTATATGCTAACAATGACGTTTTAGGTAAAGAAAATCGGGCAGAAAATTTCTGTAAACCGATAACAACCAATAAGCAATATCCTGCCAAAGGAATATATAATATTCTTTCTGCCAAAACAAATCCAACATTGAAGAAGATATTACTAGCTGGCAGAAACGGACAGATCAATATTGTAAGTCCCATAATTACATATCTGCAAAAGTTTATGTATGTTACACATATATCATTCTCAACATACATGTATCATTTTAAAATTTAAAAAGGTTTCAGATTACCTTAAAGTCTTATTCTTATGAGACATAAACGTGTACATTATTAATGTTCCAAATATGAACCAGAAAATAATAACTGGGAAAGTTCTGTAGTCGTAGCTGGTGATTAAAGATACACAGCCCATTGACCAATCAAAACAAAGCCATACAGGGCAGATAAGTAACCATATATTTAAGAAATAGATATAGTTATAATTAAGTATACGAAGCAATATGTTATCCATAAAAGATGCTGGATTATCTACTGATTGAAAGTTCGGAATTGAAAATCCCATAATACTGAATCTTAGAAGTAAAAGTATTATAGCAATAAAAATAAGTGCAGAAAGTCGTAACAAAATATTTTTATACTTAATAAAGTTATTCCAATTTTTGTCGACATGTTTAAATAAAAAAAAATTAATTATGTCAATTGGATATATTTTGTTCACAATAACTATATCATATATTGCGCAAATACCCTAAAAGACAAATCAGTTATTATATTAAAAACTTTTAAGAACGCAATTTTAATACTTACAATGGCAGTAATTCCAGTTTCTTTACACAGCATCGCTGCAGTTATGCAAATAGTAAAACTGGATATAGCAATCCATGCACATAATATATTTTTTGCATATATTACATGATTATACAACAAGATTGATAGCCATGTAAACAAGCCACATAATAATTCGGCACGTCCAACAATTCCAGATACCTGATATATGAAGAAATGAATATAATTATAATGTATTCTAATATATAAATACAAGATTAATCTGGAAATAGCCATCTAATTTTTTGCATAAATGATCACTTGGATTATTTTTTTTAGTTCACTGTTATTAATTACACATTATATATTGATTATCACATACATATATACATATATATAATTTTTTAATATTTGAAATTATTATATGTACATACAGATTTACTCAATATTTTCTTAAAAAAGAAAGGTAGATACAAATTACTTAATCTGTAAACTTATAACTGAGCTTTAGGCCCCTATTTTATAACTCTTAACAACAATGTTAATAACCAATACTGTTTTAGATTAGCTTGATTACAGTTGATTAAATATCAACTGTGATTGATCAATTCTTAACAACAGTGTTGTGGATCTTATAGTAAAGAAAGCTACATAACACAACATAAATATTATATTGGTCAGTTCCTATAGATCAAGATGGTGAAACTGGTCTAAGAGTACAAAATAGGAGGCATCAGTTTTTTACTCCGTTGAGACATAAAAATAATTCCAATTTATTATCATTTCCAGGTTAATATATATATATAATGACGATGCATTTATAATTATAATTACGGCTTCTGTATGAATTGGATGAACTGCAAATAAGGCTGCGGCATAAAATGAAATATTCCGTCCTTCAGGTCCCAAAAATATATTGTATACAAATAAAGTTAATAGGCAAATTGTACTATGTAATATTATATTTACTATATGGTAATCCTGCGAAACTAAGCCTTGTCGCAACCAGAATTGTAGTCTACAGAGAAAGAAAAAATTAATTTTGATATTAGTTTATACATAGGAAACAGTCTGCCATGTACCAACTTTAGGAAATCATATCTGTATAACGAAAATAAAGTATTTTGCATATTTTATTTTAATAAATTGTTTCTCAACTTTTTTTTATTAATTTAAGGTTGAATATTTATTTTAATTCTTTTATAATGTAGGTCGATTTAATAATAATAATAATAAATATAATCGATAAAATTTAATTGTTAAATGTAAGTAATCCATGTGTGTGCACTTTTTATTTATATTAGCGAAAAAAAACAGAAAGTTACATAAAAAACAATACACAAAAACGTTAATTAAAAGCTGTATCTTTCCTCTTCAAAATTTAATTTTAAAAATTTCTGTGATTTTTTGCATCAAAATATTTGTCAGGTTTTCTTTTAAATATAAAAAAATAGCAAGCGTCAAATTTATTTATATAATACATATATAAACGTTAGTGTATATTTCGCACGCATACATATACACGTTTTTTATAATTATATTTGATAATATTCTTTTACCTGAAACTGAGTATAGTGAAAGGTCTATATGACTTATGGCTTTGCTTATGGGATAATTTAGTACCCCAAAAGTCATTTTGAAATATATCCCAAAACGGTGTCTCGCGTACATCGATGTTATTGACAATAGCTTCGGTATCGTCAAAAACAAAATCTCCGTCATAACTGTTAACAAAACAAAGTGACAAAATCACAATTATCCATGGAGAAAGCAATGGCGATACGGCTGAAAAAATATATAAAATATCTCATTAAAAAGGTATTTACTCTCGTGCGTATATCCATATAATCGTGTATTACGTGATAGTTTACCTGGCAGATAAGTTTTTATTTTGCTTTTCATAATACTCCAAACAAACACAGATCGCTGTCTTTGTTTATTATCATAGATACAGTCTCTTGTTGAGATACGTTATTGTACCTTCTTCTTCATCTTTTTAAATTTTAATTAGCACTGTCTTCAGTTGAAAACAATTGACCAGTATTTCAAGGTATAATTTATACATGCTTTTTCTGTAGCCATTTGTTTTCTGTGTGGTCATTTAGTATACTTTTGGAATTTAAAGCGGTAATTATGAAGTAGACGGGCGTCTTTGCATGAAATGAATGAATCTGGCAAAAAGTGTCACTCTATCCCGCGAATCGAGAATAGTGAAGGTTAAGAAATCTGTCATACCTACTACATATAGCATGGGACGAGTAAGGGGCTAGGTAAGTACTCTTGCCGAGTGATCGAATATGATTGGTTGGATCTATAAGTAGTAACCAATTATGTTCAATCGCTTGGTAAGCGTAGGGTAAGCGTACCTAACCGCTTTGCCATCTTGAACTCGCCCATTGGCTATATTCAGCAGACTCAACAGTTTTGCAACCATTTTATTATTCATCTCGCTGATTGGATTATATTTTTAGGTCTGAAAGAATATAGTCCTATCAGCGAAGAATCATAAAACAGTTGTAAAATGAGCGGATATGCTCAAAAATTGAGACTACTCAAAATTAAGTTGCTAAATTTAACCATATTTATTGACAAATCCGATAATCTCCGAGTGCTTGTAATTCGTCGACTCGTGTAAAAAACACGGTGTGGTCTGGCTTCACTTGGCGTGAGACGCTACCAGATCTCTTGATGTATTATCAAATCATATTTGTGATTTGTATATCATTATTTAATTTTTCAATCGTATTTACATATTCCGATAAAAGTTAAAAAAATTAAAGCAATTGCTTGTGAAAAATATTTAATATCTTTTTAGATACATATGTACATATAATTGTTGCAAATAAATATTTATTTTTCTTGTATTTAATAAAATCAAGTATACCATCGTCCATCATATATGTATGTTATGTACAAATAAACTATAATTTATAAATATTGCTTTATATTTTTAATTTTCATCGATAAATGACTTAAACTAACACAACACAGAAGACATAATTTTCAAAACTATTATCGCATGAATGAGTCAAGTAAACGTTACTTCATTAATTACCAAAAATTAATTAATTTAACTTCATAAAAAATTGTCAAAATTGTTACTATTTAAAAAAATAGTTAAGAAAAAATCAACACACAACTCGAAACAAATAAACTTTTTTAAGGGGGTTGATGCAAAAAAATGACCAAAAATGATACTTGATCATGTTAAGAGTATATTCTTTTTGCCGACATTCGATTGTTAATGATTTTATGACAAATAGAAAAATAGCTCTTCCTTTTTTCTAGGAAACTTTTTAGTTTTTAAATTGTGTCACTTTTTAAATAAGGGAACGATGTACATAAATATATATAAATATCATTATTATTACTATATTATTATTATTACGTATATAGGATGTCTCTCCCAGAACAATTTTCGTGTGCAAGTAGAATGGACTAAACTAGGGATGCCGTCCCATGATACAGATATT